TATATATATATATAAATCTTATTTTGCTTTGCATAAATGTGTGTTTTGTAGTGCTTGGAGTTGGAGAAAGTAAACTTGTTGTCAGTGATGTGTTATTCCAGTGTTGAAAATTCTGTTTGTAAAGATGTTTTTCCTCTTGCAGATGGGCTCCTGGGGAAAGCTTTCACCTCCTCTTCCTTCCAAGGCTACAGCTTTGTATCATCTTTGTTAGTGCTGCTTGGACTTATTAAGGTATGAAACACTCTGCAAAATGTGTCTTTGGTTTGCTTCCCCCCCCCCCTAATGTTTTTGGTCCTCTACCTTCAGAGCGAGGATAAGGTGAAACCTGTGATTGTGGTCCCCGGCCACCTCCAAGCTTTGGAGCATGTCGTTCGACAGGACTACTTCCCCAAAGAGAGCGTGGCTGTGCTGGAGGCCTTCATGTCCCGGTAAGGACGTGACAGAATGAGCCAATCAAAAGGCAGCTTCCAGGTACAAAACACCATTATTTCCTATCCTTAGTAATGTAGCACATAAATGCTTCTGCACCAGGTGCGTAAACAGATGGTGATTAATTCGCCCTGGTTTTATCTCACTTTTGTGTTGGAGAGGATTCATTATATTCTTGATTAAACTATTTATATAATGCAATATTTTGGTGCAGTTTACTTATAAAAAAATTAATAATTAAATAATTATTGTTGAGTTTGGGGTGTTTCATGGGATCCTAGAAAATCTCCAGATCTTTTAATGAAAAAATTGTAATACAGGATAAATAATTGTACAATCTGCATGTGTCATTCTTAGGAATAACAAGACCTTGGAGTCCTGTGGAAATGCTAAAAACAATCTCCAATCAACACTGCAGAGAGTCCGGTCTCAGAGCTGAGGACTGTGGACACGTGCGCATAGACTGATCATTCATGGCCTTTGGAAACCAGCACACACAAACACAAAAGTAAAAAAGAGGAGCACTTGAGAAAACCCCTTTTTTCCCTGGACTTCGGACATAACTTGAATACGTCTTATGAAATAGAAAAAGCTCTGAAGGTGTGAAATTGTTGAAGCCCTTTGTATATGTTCAAATAACTACCAGACAGCACTGACACCTTTAACTTCACCTTCTTTGTATACGGGTGAATGAGAAAAGGCCTCACGCTCCACAGATGACAGCTGTAAACCAGGATCAGTGTGGACTTGGCACTCGCAGCTATTGTGGCTTCTCTATTTAATTTTCACCTTTGCTGTTCTCTTGTTTCACACCAAATATTTGTTATATATTCACAAATATTGTCAAATTGTGATATTAAAATATCTATTGACAAGCAGAAACAAGACTGTAACATACCACATTAAAATGCATTAAATAAATTGAAATGTATTTTCAGGGTAGACAGTTGTTGATGAATTTGTGTTGCAAAAATAAAGCTCATTTTGAGTGTTGTTGTTGTTTTTTTTAAGTGTCTGCAAGCTGACTGTGTAGTTTCTACAACCCCGATTCCAAAAAAGACAAAATGCTGTTTAAAGGAAATAAAACTGGAATGCAGTGATTTGCAAGTCTCATAAACCCATATTTTATTCACAATAAAACATGGAAAATGTTAAATATTTAAACTGATAAGGGAAACTACTGAAACAGCTGAAGGAAAATTCAGGTTAACTGGCAACGGGTCAGTAACGTGATTGGATATATATTAACCAATCTGGCAAAAGACCTTGTCCACAATTTACGGAGCAATTTCAGAATAATCTGCACATTTGAAAGGCACCATTAATGTTGAATGGTATAAGGTCAGCTTTTAGAGCAATATGTGCTCCCATCCAGATAATGTCTTTTTCAGAAAAAGGCCTTGCATATCTCAGCAAGACGATGCTAAACCTAGCGAAGAGGTTCAGTGCTGAAATGGCCTGGCTGCAGTTAAAAGAAGAAGGCTGTTGTGGTGAACGTGGCTCTTTCCCAAATAATTTTTTCCTTCTTCGAATGTTGCAGTCAGAATAAAAATGGGATTTATAAGCATTTCAAATCATTACACTTAGGTTTTTTTATATTTCAGATAGCATCCGAGCTTTTATTGGAATGAGTTTTATTTAAAAATAAAAAGCAAAACTTTAAACTCCAAAGATGTAATGCAGATATAGATTTTACAGTAATGCAAAACGGAGAAAGAAAAGTTGAAATGGTAGTAATAACTAGAAAAAGTTGCATTTCCTGCAAAAATGCTGTGTGAATGCCTTGCAGTAGAATCTGAAAACAGCAGAAGGAGAACTATCTGATGAAAACACTGTGTAGAAGCTGAACTCTTTGCTGAAAACTGCTTTATTTGAAAGGGTACACTGAACAGTGTCACTAAAGCAGAGTGCATGCAAGCAGAGGTGTGCTAACAGCAACAAGTAGGATTCAAACCTGCACCAACAGATCTCACAGCAGCTGCTCATCTCACTGAGCCAAAGCAGTTCCTGTCCCAACAATAGATATGATGAGAGAAAAAATATGCAGGGGGCCGAAGAAGCTGAATTGTGCTGAAAAGAGGTAAAAAAGCTGAAATTCTTCTGAAAGAGCAGAAGAGGCTGGAATTTTTCAGCTACTCATTGAGCCAAACTGGTTCTTACGTAACTGAAAAAAGCTGACAATTCTGATAAAAACAGCAGAAGAGGCTGAGATTTGTGCTGATAAGAGGTGAAAACGCTGAAATTTCTGCTGAAAAGAGGCAGAACAACCTGGTTCTGCTCAATTTCAGTCCACCAATCAGAGGTACTGCGCCGTTTTTTGGAGTTACAAAACGTGTGTAACTACTGTAAAACTCGGTGGGATAGAAGCACTTGTCCTGTCACTTGTACTGGGTGAATTGGCAGACTTTGAACCTTCACTGTGGACAGAAAGGACAGATTTCCACCCCTCAAACAAATGTAATTTATGGCTCAACGGTAAGATGACTGTAAAAACTGCTTCGACCGTGAGTGTCAGCAGTGTCTGAGGATGAATTGGCACAAGCCTCATTTGTTAACTTTGCTTTGTTAAGGAGATGTGACGATTTGAAAAGGGCTCTCATTAAAGAGTTCCAGCGCTGATTTTGAACAAACTCTCCATTGACTTTCTATGGAGAGTTTTCAGACTTTGTGTTGCTCTGAGGCGATCTGATAAAAATCTGTAACTTCCACAACAATGATAGTGACATTTTCTGAAAGCCAGCAAAAATACCCACGTTTTGATGTATAATTTGTGGAGGTTGAGTGAAAATTGAGTGAGTAGCAAGAAGTTGTTCAGACATGAAGAGAAAGTTCAGAAAGGACAAGTTGTCACTCTGAGTTAATTGCATAGCAACCATAACAACGCATGTATTTTCTGGAAAATCACAAAGCTGCAACTGAAAACTTAAAGAGGCATTAAATTAAAACAGTAACACATATGAAAAAGCTGAATCACACATAAAAAGCCCAATAATTTGAGAACATTTTAAAGTTTGAATGGAGAAAGTATGAGGAAGTAGTTAAGTTTCAAAAACAAGCAAGTTTTAGCAGAATTGTGGAAGTTTTCCTTTCATTTCAATGGGACAAAAGGAAAAAAGTGTAATATTTTAAAAAGTATAATAGTAATAAATACCAAAAGATATAGCCGGAATTAGCAGAAATAGCAGAATACTTTGAGGCATTCACACAATTATTATTGCCTGATGAAGCAGGCTTTTTTAAGGTTATAATGGAAGCTTATGGATGAAACTCCGGCATTCAGATTTAAAAGCCTTGATTTTTCCAAACCAGCAGTGAGTTATTTCATCTCATGTGTCAGCAAATAGAAGCTGCTCGCTTCTTGTGCCTCAGAAAATGTGAAGCCAGTGTGTTAATTTGCAGAGAGAGGACACGAAGATCAGGGGTCACCACAAAAGAATTTACCAAAGTCTTGTTTGTTAGCCTGTTGGACCACAGGCTGTAAGTACTGGGCACACTCAGAGTGAAGTAAAGCCCTCAGTGAACAACTTAAAGCCCGAACTGGCAGATTAAATCCATCTCTAATTCTTGTTACCAAGGAAACACTGATAGCACAGCCATATGGTTAAAGGTAAGCCAAGCTGCTTGTTTTTAGTGATCTGGGTTTTGAACTCGGATTTTCTTTGGAGTTTAGATTTCTCATATGGTAGTGTTAAGTGTTAAGCTATATAGTGTAAGATATTGAGTATCGATCAGTTTTGATCATCACCTGCTACATCTATATACATCTAAAATGGCAGATAAATGATGTGTGCCATGTGTTGCTAAAGCCAAACCGTTGAGTTTTGGGAACCAGGAACCAGTTGTGGGAGATCAGGGGAAATCAAACAAAGTAAAAGGCTATGCTGGTTTCAACCGTGGAGAGCTCTTCTGCCTCCTTAAAGATACCTTAGGTAACATGACAATCCTTCAAAAATATTTTACAGACATGAAAGGAAAAGCAGAGTCCTTTATCCAACTAAATGAGGAGGAATCCATGTTTCAAGACCCCCAAATCTGTTGTTTTGCTTCTGTAAGGTGCAGAAGAGCTTTATAACTTGAACTAGTGTGTCTAGTGTCTGTCTCCCAACCCGGGGCCTTTAGCCACTCCTATAATTCTATTTCTAACATGTGTTACTGGCACAGATGCAGATCTTCTCTGCTGAAGTCGTCCTCCTTGTTTTAACACTGTCTTTACCCGTGGAAGCCAAAAAGTGTCCCAGAGCCTGCAGTTGTGACAGCATCACACTCACAACAGCCTGTGTGGGCAAGAACCTAACAGATGTCCCCCCGACTGTGGAGGAGGTGAGGAATTCAGGGGTTTTGCTGTATCTTAGACATATAGGCTTTTTAAACTGAGGGTTGATAACAAGCTGGATGGATCCTCTCCTCTTTACTCTGAAGGATGGCGCGTGCACGTGTTTCAATAACAATTTCAAATGCTCTCCTCTTAACCTGACTGAGATGCTCTGGCACGACCTGAAAAGGGTTTTCAATTAAGACATCCCAGAAATATTGATGAACTGAAACAGGTTTATAGGACAAAGATTTCTCCTCAGTGAAACATCAGAAACATCTAAAGGAAGTTTGCTGCTGCTAAAGAAGCTTCTGTAAAATACTGCATGTAATTATTTTCCAGCCTGTGTTGTGAATGATCACTCATTGTCCTCAGTAAAGAAAGAATGAAAGCGTATAATTATGAAGCACGGACCACATTCTGTGAGTAATTAGTGCTGAAATCAAGAGAGAGTGATTTTAGAACCAAAGAGTGATTAGCTAACCAGACTTATTATCTGAATAAACCAGCCTCACTCTGCTTTCCGTCCTGGCATGTAATTGTGTGTCCAATACTCATTGCTTCCTCTAGATTACTGTGAAACTCGACCTGAGAAATAACAACTTGCAGGTGCTGTCCAGGGGGACATTCATGCACACACCCTACCTCACCCATCTCAACCTGCAGCGCTGCAACATCATCGAGATTAAAGAGGGCGCCTTTCGGACTCTTGGCCGAGTGGTCTCTCTAAACCTGGCTCACAACAAAATTGAAATCCTTTACCAAGTAAGATCAGAGGCCCGCAGTTTTTCCTCTCGAGTCTTTATTATGAGAATGATGTTCTCTTCTTTTCACTGCTGCAGGAGTCCTTTGACGGTCTCTCCTCCCTGAAAGAGCTGCGACTTGACAACAATCGCATCGAGGAGATCCAGCCTGGAGCCTTCACACAGCTCGGCTTCCTCAACACACTGGCCATAACCCACAACCAGCTGGTTTACATCCCTAACATGGTCTTCCAGGTACTCCAAATTATGGTTAAATACGTTAATAATCTTTTTGGATGTGTTTGGTAATGCGATTCCACAACGGTCCTCCTTCTCCTCCTCTTCCTCCTCAAGGGGCTGCAGAACATTAAGTTTCTTCGTCTTAGCCACAACTCTCTGAACAACCTGGCACCTGAGGCGTTTGCTGGGCTCTTCACCCTCAGCCGCCTCGACTTGGATCACAATGAGCTGCAGTTCTTCCCCACACAGACAATGACGAGGTGGGACAACCTGGACGACTGTTATGGGACATATTGATATGTGTGTTTTAATGTGTGTTTAGCATTGAATCCTCAGCTGCAGCAGCACTATATATATATATATATATATATATTTATATATATATATATATATGTGTGTGTGTGTGTGTGTGTGTGTGTGTGTAGTAAAATTTGTGAGCTTTTAAGTGACAATTTTAAATTGCCATGTCCTCCACCTGTTAAGACTCCGTGAGGTCACACGGCTGCACATGAACCACAACCCCATGGTCTACCTCGGGGAAGATGCCGTTTCCATGGCAAAGCTTACACACCTGTACCTCAGCCACATGTCCCTTCAGGACCTCTCAGACAAGGCCTTCTCTCAAGCCCCCCTCCTCTCACACCTTGACCTCAGCCACAACCATCTTCGGTACGTGGAGCCCTTCTCAGGCCCTAGAGACCTCACCAGCCTCAACCTGACAGGTAAAGCCTGTGTTCTGATGTTTTTTATTGGACACAGACTTTTACTTTAACATAACAGGCTTTCATTTTTTCCAAACCAGCAGATGTAAGTGATCTGACTTCTCATGTCTCATAGTGAGGCCAAGAAAGAAAGATGTAGGGGGGTGATAGCATACCATGTGTCATTTTTACATGCTGACCAACAGGCATTTCTTACTTTTTCTAAAGGGAACCCCATTTACTGTAACTGCTACATGTCTCCACTGAGGCAGTGGGCGAGAGTTAGTGGTGTGAAGCTGCTGGGGGCCTGCTCTGGACCTCCTCACCTCTCAGATGAGCCTCTGCAGGCGGTGTCTCCTCTGGATCTGCGCTGCAGGAGGGGGGAGTCACCGGTGGAGGAGGAGGAGAGTACGGAAAGAGTCCCACCCACAGCCACTGCCAAGCCAAAGCAGAAGGTCAAGTGTCCAGCTAACTGTGAATGTGATGTAAGTTGGAGACAGAAAACACTTCTGGGACACAATGAAAGCATGAAGAAAAAATAAAAACTCCAGTTTCTCATAGATTTGCTGTTTTACCACACTCTCACTTGGCTCACTTGTACTTACTTACTTCGCTAATCACAGTAGAGCACTTGGCTCTCAGACTGTGGCTTACTTGTGATTCCTAGGATATTTAAAAGTAGAATGGGAGGCACAGCCTTCAGCTTTCAGGGCCCTAATCTGTGGGACCAGCTTCCAGTTTGGATTCAGGAGGCAGACACCCTCTCTAGTTTTAAGCTAGAGAGCTATGCTAAAAGGGTTTTGATAAAGCATATATTTAGGGGTTGGATCAAGTGGCCATGCTATATAAATAAAATTGAGTTGAAAGCTCTAAAACTCCACTGTAGGTAGATGGGTAACATAGTGGTAGATTTTTGGCACCACACAAATAATGCTTCAAAGGCCTTTAAATGAAGGCTAATGCTGCATGCTACAAGGCAGCTGTTTTACTCATATGTTTATCAGTGTCTCAGAGCACTGTGATATGTCGGTATTCTATTAAGTAAACCCTCAGAGTACTTCCTCGATGACTGTTTGTTATTTCCACTGAGACGTTTTGCAGGTTTCACATTCAAAACTGATTTTCTCTAGACTGAGACCCAGCATGCCACATGTGAGGGTCGGGGCCATACTAGAATCCCACGAGGCTTCCCCGCCCAGACGCAGTTGCTGGACCTCCACGATAATCACTTCCACTACCTTCCAGCCAACAGCTTCCCAGGCAGCAGCCAACTTGTTTCTCTTCACTTGCAGTCCTGCAAAATCCATGAAATTGAAGGTGGTGCCCTCCAAGGGATGAAAAACCTTTTGTATTTGTATCTTTCTGATAATGACCTCATGTCCTTGGACCCCAAGGCCTTTGCTGGAGTGCCCAAGCTCACCTACATCCACCTGGAGAGGAACAAGCTGGCGCAGTTCCCTGGATCAGGTCAGTGGAAAAATTACATTAAGTCTGCCTCAGTAGATACTATCTACAAGAAACACTGGAACTAAAACATGGCTGTTCTGTGTCTTTCTTCTAGCTCTGTCACTCTTACCAAGTCTGGTTGTGTTACACCTGGAGCAAAATGCCATCTCTAAACTTGAGACCAGTGGGTTGCTGTCCTCACTGGGCTCTAAACTTACTGAGTTATACCTGGGCAATAACAACTTAACTTACATTGCCAAGGGCGCTCTTGACTCTGACTCTCTATGTACCCTTCACCTGGATTCAAATCAGCTGACTGAGGTGCCCACCCACGCTCTGCTTGAGACCCCTAATCTGCAGGAGCTCAACCTCTCTGGGAACTCAGTTCGTTGGGTGGGACCAAATGCTTTCCAGCCCTTATCCAAAAGTCTGAAGAGACTTTACATGGATCATATGAGAATGGAAAAGGTACGAGAGAACCTTTTAAGCTAATATCACAAGTTCGTTTGCAACGTGTTTATGTTTTCTCAGCATTGTCAGTATTTGAACACCAGCCAGGTTTCCAATATCTAGTCCAAACGTGTTTATGTGAAAATATGTGCTGATTATTCACTGCACTGAGGGCTTGTTCAAGATAAAGAATTTTCTTTTCAACTCTTTGTATTGCACCACTGTGCAGATCTCCAAGGATGCACTGCTGGGGCTGGCCTCAGAGCTGCGGACTTTGACTGTGAGAGGAAACCAGCTGGAGGAGTTTCCTGATCTGAGCCCACTCACCGGCCTGGAGACTGTGGACCTGCAGGACAACCCACTGCGTTGTGACTGCTCTCTGCTTCCTCTGCGCAGGTCGGTGTAAGATTTACCTGGGACTACAGTTAGAATGAACTGACAGCTTTACTGACTCTGTCTCTTTGTATCTGTGGCTCAGGTGGATGGAGAATGTTAGTTTGGAGCTGACCGCAACTTGTGGTCACCCTCCTGAGCTCAGAGGTCAGAAGGTCCGGGGCATCCACGTCTTCAAGTCCTGCCCAGAGAACATTTCTTCACCAGAAAAGAAGAGTGCTGCATATCCAAAAGTGAAGAAATCCAAAGCAGACTCCTTGAAATCCCGAAAAGTCAAAGCACAGACCACAGCTAAAGTCGCCAAACTGCCCAGGAAGCAGCCTCAAAGAAAACCTGGGCCACCAAAAGTAACAAAGAAAAAGAAGATACTGAAATGAGAACATGTAACTCATTTTCCTTTTCCTCTTTTTTTGCAATAAACCTGAGTGTTAAGGAGCTGGGTTTCTTGAAAGCTACATTTGTTTGGTTCTAAATTAAAATGTTGAGCCATGCAAGTCTTTTGTATCCAAGCGAAAAATCAAAGTCAAAAAGTCAGAGGAAACCTGACAGTCACTCAGCCAATCTCTCACCATTCTTGCAGGGATACTTTAATGCAACACTAAAAAGGTTTGTTGAGAGAGAATAACAACGCATTTTTAGAGGAGCCCAACTGCTATGCATATTACAGAAATGTATATTTAGTGGTGCACATACTAATTTACAGAGGCCAAGCGTCAAGTGTCTATAGGTGAAATCAGCGAGGCCATGTTATCCCACATTGTCCCTATGTGAGACGGCACAGCAATATCCCACATTGGAATTGAGTGTAGTTTATAGAAGAACCACATAGCCAAAAAAATCTTATCTATGGGTGTATCCATACTGAAAGCTAACAAAAACGGACAAACACAGCTAGTTATGTGCAGTACTGCAAATGTTGGTATTGATCTGATATCAAGCCAGTATTTCCTATACCAATACAAATATTTTTAGCCTATAAGGGCAGCTTATGTAAGGGAGAGCAGTGTTTCATGATTTATGAAATAGTCATCAATATGCAAATTCTGAACACATTTTAATGATCACTAAAATCACTTTGATTTTTTTTTTAAATTTCCCACAATAATTAGTTAACACGACAACAAAACAAATCTTTCACCTTCTTAATTATTTTAAAACTATTCTTTTTTTAGACCTGTCTTTTAAGCACTTTTGGTCAACATCTGTTATCTAAATGTGCTATAGGTTTTAAATATTCTAGACGTGACGGTAAATACAAAATCTTTCAGATATTTTCATACAGCATGTCTGAGCTATAGTTTTTTAATTCCAAAATTCAGTGGGCTACAAACTGAACTTATAGGATAGAAGCAAAGTATTGATCTTATCACCGTAGCATCGATGGGAGATCAATAGTAATTCAAACTACTTGGCAGTGTTAGCAACATTTGTGCTCTAACAATTTACTATATCTAATGGGAAATGACAGACCATTGTGTCTGTGATACCTGCCTTTATACTGAGCTGTAGTTGAGGGTTAGTCGTGGGGGTTCCATGGTGTAATGGTTAGCACTCTGGACTCTGAATCCAGCGATCCGAGTTCAAATCTCGGTGGAACCTAAATGTTTTGGATGGAGAAGCTTTTCGCTTTGTGTTCATGAAAGTTAACATTGTTAGCTTTTGAAATAAATATAAGAAAATAACTATGATCTGTCTTCATTACGCCGTCAAATATCGATATAATACGCTTTAAAACTTCTCAAATTCGACGGCGGAAACTGCCGCTCTTCTTCCGCCTGATTTGGCTCATACGTCATACTCTTCCGTTCAAGATGGCAGCAGCAATGGACGTGGATACACCGAGCGGTACTAATAGCGCAAGCAAGAAACGATTTGAAGTAAAGAAGGTATGGCTGTAAAAAGTCTCTCACCGGGGAGTTACTAAGAAGCTGTCTAATGTGAACAATGGACGCTATCATAGCTTAGTGCCGCTCACTGCCTTTACTAAGCTAACTCTAGCATGCTAACTTTAGCGCTATGTCACTGTGGCATAGGACACTAGGCTTGTAGCTGTTAGTAACGAATACCCACGAATTTGCACTTCCCATTAAGGGGCCGAGAATCAACGCCCTTACAGATATCTCTGAATTAATAACAAAGGTGTAATGGGCAGAAACACATCAGCTGTTCAAACGGTACCCCGGCGGAATTAGCCTAGCTACACATCACACGTAATTTTTGTTTTGTATTTAAAAATAATGTTTACACGTTTGACATGCTTTCGATGGCGACTGTGTGTCTCGTTCTTATGCTATTCTTTTCTCAATAAGCTAGACTCAAATGATATATTTAGGGCCCCATGCCTTAAATCTCTAATGATTTGAGGACTTCTATAGAGTTTACAGTAACATCTCAGGCGTGTTTCTGGGATGGGGAAGTGGATAAGGCCCTCTTACAGACACTCAAGAGATGCTTTTGCTTCTTCTTTTTCAAATCAAAATACATTGGACACTCATAATGAACCAAAGTTAAAATATATATTTTTAAATAAAACATATGTTTATGTCATGTTTGTTATTAAGCTCAAAAAGTGCCCCTCAAGTCACAGCAGTTTGTGCACTGCTGGCCCTCGTGTGGTTCAAATAAGGGGATATAGACATTTTTTAAATTAAATAATCTCCAGATTATGAATCTTGGATCATATATTTGTGTGATTTTATTTTTCCCCCTCAGTGGAATGCTGTGGCGCTCTGGGCCTGGGACATTGTGGTGGACAACTGTGCTATCTGTAGGAACCACATCATGGATCTCTGTGAGTTCAGTTTTACATTTTGGTCTTTGATCTCTTTGGTGAACATTTTGACAGTAAATGAGGTTTGCTTATCATTGTAGGTGATATGGTGCTTTTTATGTTGACACATTTCTCTTTTCCCCCCTCACCCATTAGGCATAGAGTGCCAGGCCAACCAAGCTTCTGCAACCTCTGAAGAGTGCACTGTAGCCTGGGGTGTTTGCAATGTAAGCTTCTATATAACATGTACAGTGTGATCAAAATGGTCTCAGCTCCCCTTTAAGACCATTGCTCTTTGTTTGAATTGCACTGTGGAAGCAAAATCCTGATCTGACCACTTGATTTTTTCTGTTTTCTCTCTGTCTTTGCTGTGTGTGATTGGCAACAAAAGCCAATCACACACAGCAAAGAAGATGAAAATGGGTGTCTGAAATTATTTTTTTGGGAACAAAGGAGGAAGTCATAGGAAGTGTGTGTGCCCTGCACTCCACAGTTCAGGTTGTTTCTACTGAATGATCTCCCTGGGACAACTCAGGATATCACAGTAGAACTGAGTCTTCACAGTCTGACCCTGGTGTCTGTAGCACTGACAGTTGTTGATGCTCCCTGTTCAAATTTGGCATCCATACTGAAAACATGCAGATTCACAAAGTCAGATTAGGACTTCTAAGGAGTGATCTTAAAAAGATGATGACAGGCACCTCCTGTAACAATCATCTCTGCTGCCAGGAAGGGCAGATATAGGAAGTTCTATGTATCGGGCAGAGGTGATCTTCCAGATGATATATCATTATCAAAAATGATCAGCATGCTGATCCATAAAGGTGAGAGGAATCATGTTAAACACAAATTAATATTAGTATAACTTCTGGAGCGATTTTCTCAACATTGATCATAATGAACTTTAATAGGAATTTCCTGCACAAGGCTGTTGTGCTTATAAGAGCTTGCTCATGCCAGGTTTATATGCAGGAACTATACATGCAATGAACACTATTTAAATGGAAGGTTTTAAAGTTTCCCAAATCCTTAAAAATGGTTTTAAATAATCTGGGATAACTTGATCCTCTGGTCATTTTGTTATTTTAAGCGCACATGATCTATTTCTTTGTTTTTCAGTTGTGCCTCAAAGTTTGATTGTTGTCGTGTGGAAGTACAAAGAATTAGTATTAGCAGTATTGCCAGGTCTCTCTTGGAAATGAGATTTTTGCCTGGATAAATAAAGGACTAATAATAAATAAAATACATGATACTTAAATATTGTAAACCTGAAGTAAAATATCGATTTTCCACTAGAGAAGTTATTTTTGTTAAATAAAATTCTTTTAGGTAGTTTTACCATCCTTCTGTTTCTCTTTTCCAGCATGCTTTCCACTTCCACTGTATTTCTCGCTGGCTGAAGACCAGACAGGTGTGTCCTCTGGACAACAGGGAGTGGGAGTTTCAGAAGTGAGTACCATGCATTACATTGTATACAGTTTTACTGTGTGGTCCAATCACAAGGGTTTAAGGGGTTCCTTGGTTAACAGTGCATTTGATCATTTGTTGACCCGCAGAGAAAATTGTTTATTCTTTAAAACTGAAGAGCTGTACTGACAGAACATCCTCTCTGTCATGTTTTCACAGATATGGACACTAGCTCGTTTATCCTTCACCCCTTTGTTGGCTTCTGCAAGCAGCACCCTCACTTTATCCTTGTTCTGACCCGCTTATAAAAGCTGTTTCTGCTCATGTATTTTGTTCTGGTATATTGTAAGTACAGAAATAAACAGGAATCTTGTGAAAAATACAGCTTGTGTGACTTGTGTTGTCGGAATTTTAAAGAGGAAGAGACAAGCAGCACATTTTCAGGGGTTGTGGGCAAAAGACTGAGTTAACGAAGGAGATCCAAAGGACAAATCAGCCGTCTGCTGTGACAGGACAGTGCTCAGTCAGATCTGCTTTGATAAGAGCCCAGCCGGCTGCGTGTTAGAGTGGTAATCCTCTGGCTGAAAGACAGATGTTGTGGATGGATTAAGTAGCTGGTGGCCCACTCTCCCACCAGGCCGGATTTATCAAAGTACCTTTAAAGACCCACATTTGGAACCAGCTGATGTGTTTGTTTGTAAACAGATTGAGGCAATGATTATGACAGGTTTAAAGATGAGTCGAGTTTTCTGATCATTCTTTCCAGTTTAATTATCACAGGAAAACTGAAGTCAAAATAAAAATGAGTGAACTCTTTTACACATGACATTTAACGGGAAACAGAACTAGAAATGCAGATCAAACCTGATTTGCAGGAACAGAGCTTTTATTTTTGTGAATTTTTCCAACAGGGTCAAACATGTTCAATACTTTTTATAATAATACGTCTGATAACAAGAAGGGCCCACACTGGTGTGAGAGTTCAGCTCCGTCCACAGAAAGAAAGAAACCAGTAGCTAAATCATAGTGAGTATTAAACAGCGGTAGAAATGTTTCTAAGCTAGCGTCTTAATGCAGGAGGCTCCCGGTTTGGCTGTTCATGACGCAGGTTAGAAAACGTCAACCTGTGGTTTAAGTGAATTCCCAGCTGAGATGTGCTGGACGGGGTGTATAAGTATCAGACCTGACTCCTAACCACCGGGCTGCTTTGTTGACATGTTGCTAAGTGCTAACAGGTTGATTAAGAACATTAAAAAAAAAAAAAGAAATTGCCAACCTTCCTCTACACCATGCCAGATAACCCGTCACCTGCTCCCCTGTTTGAACTACACACAGTGAATAATTGTTGAAAAGCTTTGCTCTCCAGATTGTTTCACCACATATCCACTCGTTCTTCTCTCCCATTTCGGTCCCGTCCTGTCTATGGCTGTGGAGGAGCTCCAAATTTAGAGCTCAGCTTGGTGACGAGGGCCATGATTTTGGGGTTGTTCTGATACTTGGAGATGTTGGCCGGGTTCTGGGCGACATCCTGGAAGGCGGCCATCACCTCAGGGTCCTGGAGTTGGATATTGGACAAAAATGGGGTCAACTTTGCTCACCCAGGGCATTTCCAAATCAGCTTAACAAAAACTGTTGGATGTTTTTTTGTTTTTTTTAACCATAGGTCATATGGTGGTCTTACTGATTCAACAATGCATAACAGCCATGTGTGGCTGAATGATTTATGTCAGGAGTAGGCAACTCCAGGCCTCAATTGCCAGTGTCCTGCAGGTTTTAGATCTCACTCTGGGTCAATACACCTAAATCATATGATTAGTTCATTACCAGGCCTCTGGAGAACTTCAAGACATGTTGAGGAGGTAATTTAGCCATTTGAATCAGCTGTGTTGGATCAAGGACACATCTAAAACCTGCAGGACACCGGCACTTGAGGCCTGGAGTTGCCTACCCCTGATTTATGTACTGTTCAGCATAAGAACTTGATTTAAATCCAGACACACCAGCCTGTCTGGCACCAAGAACAATGTTGTATTGGAAGCCACTTAAATCACCAGTATGTTGCTCAGTCTGAACTTCAGTTTGTCATCTGGATCATGTCTACATGCCTAAAGGCTGCTGCCATGTGATCGGCTGACTAGACCAGGGGTCTGCAACCTTTAACACCCAAAGAGCCATTTGGACCCGGTTTCCATGAAAACGAAAACACTGGGAGCAGCAAATACTTTTTGACATCTAAAATGAAGATAACACTGTTTATATTGTTTTTTACCTTTATGCTTTGTGTGAACAACTAAAGGGTGTTGCTTATGAAATCCATGAAGTGCTACAGAGAAAATTACATTTTATTTATGTAATTAACACATTTTGAACTCTTAAAGAAATATAACAAAAGGAAAGACACCCAGCTGAACTAAAATGATCCAGCAAACAAACATTGTTGTGAGCCGCCACCCTTATTTGGGCTTTTGGATCCTTGACCTGACTTTTAAAAAAATAACTGGAAAAAAAAGCACTATGCTGCTAAAAAAAGAAAAATAGATATTTGCAAAATTCTGCCTAAATATGTATTTTACCCGGTTAATGTGTCTGGCGGGGCGTGGTCTGCAGCGCCACTGCAGGGGAGGCGGACACACCTGAGCGGCACCCGCAATCACGCCTCGCCGCCTTAACGTCTGTGCCATCTATGCTGTTGTGTTGGTATGTGTCGGGCTGTGAGCTGCAAAGCTACAGCCGGCTGTATGCGTACAGCAACCGTGAGTGAAAAGTGGTCAATAAAGAGAAGCTGAAAAGCATGTTCATGCAAACATCGTCGGGTCTGCCGTGATATGTTTACAATGGGACTTCTGCTCCTGAACCTCTGCACACAGCATCTGCAAATCGGGGCTGTACGAAGTCACTTTCATCTTTACGCAGGACTGTAAGCTGTCATCTGTGAGGCGTGAGCGGTGTTTGTTTTTAACATAGTTCACGGTGGAGAATAGCTGCTGACATAATGTTAAAGGTGACATCAATGATTTTTAAATGTCAAAACGATGAGAATTTTTCCTAAACCAAGTAGAAATACAGTTTCTAGGTATCTGCCTTTATTGAGGTGCTGGCTACACTGTGCAGACAGCTTTGTCAGTGAGTAAACATTAGAACAACAACTAAATTTATCTCCATGCTGCCCTAAAGGCTAAAATAATCATTTGTTACTGTGTGGAAAAACAACCAACCCACTCCTGAAGCTCCCTGGTCTAAGTGTGCGCATCAAAATTGTTCTATTAGCCGTCCTGTCTACAAGACTCTCCTCAGCACTGTGTTACGCGTTAAAATAACCAACCCTAACCATGGGACAGCTGTGATGTGGAGGACAGAGTTAGTCACCTTCATGGCATTAAGCAGCTCAGGATCTTTCAGGAGTTCACCTAGACCAGCCATGCCGGGACCAGCTCCGGCTCCACCTGGGAATCCGCCTGGGAATCCACCCGGACCTGCCAAGCAATGATTAGACTTATACTTGCACTTATGTGTCTAATAAATGGATGCATAACAGAACCCTGACATGAACACACAGCTTCACACATTGTTCTCACCCTGGACGTTGTAGACACGGGATGATCAATAAAACAATCAGTGTTTACAGGAGTATAAATTATGGGACTCCATCATAAGGCATTCGGCAGTAAAATGAGTTGCTTTTGCTCTCCTACCTGGGAAGAATCCTCCTCCAGCCTGTCGTGCTTCCTCTTCCTGTTGCAAAACAATGAATGAGACATTCATCAGTGTCATACAGTTTTTGGATTTTTTCCCTCCTGGAAAATCTGTGGAATTCCTCCCAGCAACTCACCCTCTGAGCCCGTGCGTGCTCCTCTCTGGCTTTCTTTATCCGGTCTTGCTTCTCTTTGATCTCCTTCTCTTCTCTCTTGCGCTCATATTTGCGTCTGTGCTCTATGATTTTGTTGGCCTGAAAATTACAAAGAGTTCATCTGCATTAAGATCGTGTAAACAGATCAGGACTTTGCTGTTTAACTGCAACCTTCTACATATTGAACTACCTGCATTACTGTTCCCACCAAAAAAATGAAACTGCGGCAAAGCGTTTTTTAATCTTTCTGTTCACTTCACTATTACCTTTGGCTGGACCTCCTTCAGCATTGCACTGGCATCCTCATCATAGTCCAGTTTACAGGCTGTGGCCAGGTCCCTGGCTGCCTCCTCCCAGTGTCCCAGCAGCCTGCAGCAGGACAAACATCAATTTACTGACAATATTTGGTTTCCATTTCCAGTTACCTTCTTCAGAACTTTAATAACTCACATATTTAATCACTTTAGGACTTATATGGCTGCTTGAGTTAAAGGTATTTCTAAAAGCTCCTAAAAAGCCTTCAGTTGATCCAAAATGCTGCACCTGTAGCACCGACAGAGACTAGACACAGAGATCAAATTTCTCCCACATTAGCTTCTCTTCTCTGACTCGCTGCTAAATCCATAATTGAATTTACAATCTTTTTCCTCACATATAAAACCCTGATCAATCAGTCCTCATCAAATCATCCTGTTACTCTCATAGAGCACTTCACTCTCACACTGCAGGCTTACTTGTGGTTTCTAGAAGTAGAATGGGAGGCAGAGCCTTCAGCTTTGAGGCCCCAGTTTGGATTCAAGAGACAGACACCCTCTGAAATATCCTTTAGTTAAGAAGCCACTACTGGGCAACATTACATTTTCTCTACTTTCATTTGTCGTCATCTCCCTATGCACTCCTTTTTTTCCTTTTCCTTCACCCCCAACAAGTTTTTTTTTTAAATAAATAAAACCGAACTGAACTAATTGAATACAGTGAAGCAGAGCTGACAGAGATCTGCTTAACATCACCTCCCTTAATCTGACTCACTGAAGTGTTTTTGTCTGTTGTTGGTACTATTTGGAGCATTTTTAAGGCCCCATTCACACAGGCCAAGAGGGAAAAATGCACATTCCTCCATCTGTTTGGTGATTGGTGGTTGCTGAGGGCTGCTGGCTGTTGCTAGGTAAAAGAGGGTGCTGTACCAAAAAACCTTGTCACATGTAGTTTGCATGGAAGACATCAACTTGTCTGCAAACTTTAAAATTTTACTTTCCGACTGGTTGTGAAAGCTGAAAAAGTGTGACATGAACCAGAAATGGACAATATTCGCCTTCAAAATAAAAGCATGTCTTATCACTGCAAACATCATGAGCACCGACCAGCCCATTTAGGGGAGTAATTCAGGCCTGAATGATGCTTTTGCGGAAGTTTGGAATGAGAGTTTGGCTATGTTGCCTGTGCAGCAGAAGCTCTCTCGTACCTGTGAGCTTTCCCCCTCCACTTGTAAGGCTGTGCAGAGTCTGGATTGATGCTGATGGCTCTGTCACAGTCTC